AGTTGGTTTTAAACCTAGGATGGACTTTATTAATGGAGAGGAAAAAAAAAAGATATTATATCAAATTCTAGCTGCTTTTCCTATCCAGATTACATACGCTAGTCTCCAAAATGCCAAGTTCTCCTGCCATTCAGCTTAAGGTCTCACATTTATACTATGTCCCATGTCCAAGTGTTTACCATCAACTGGACAAAAAATAATTGCATGTTTAATGGCAACCCTAAAACAAAACTTATGAAATCACAAACATAAACATTCTATACGATGATTCTACATACGTTCTGTATTCTATATGTAATCTCAACTGTGAAAGGTACACCTGAAGAGCTTGAGTGTCATCAGATTGTTTCTCAAGCAGCCTCACAGAGACATATTATCTTGATAAATTTTCCACAATCCAAAATTTGGTCCATGGTCTTTCAGGCTCAGAAATCTGTCAGCAGAGCTGAAGCAAATTTACATCTCAGAAGTGGACTTACAACTCAACAAATGCACAGTACTGATGATTGATATCAAGATGCAAATATGTTAATTTGCAACAAGACCTATAAATGTCAGATGAACTAAAACAGTCCTGAGGGCAAGCAGGTATATTTTCTTTATGTGGGCAGATCAAGATGGGAGCTAAGTCATAACTGGAAGGCTTGGTGCTTAAAAATATAAATTTGAACAAAAAGAATACATTAAATAAATCAAATGCAAGACTAAAATTCAGATTCTAATTATGTTACTTCCTGATCTACATTGATATTTCCCAGTAGAGGTAGGTATGTAACCTACCAGACTCACCAAGCTCTAAAGTCATACTTTCAAGGAGTGGCCTTAGCTGGAGGCGGCAGACTTGACTTGTGTGGCTAATGAATCTTCTGATTGACATGTTAATATCTAACTGTGGGAGAAAAAGCTATGCTAAAATGAAGAAAGTAATATGTTAAAATGTTACTCTAAGGTAATATTTGCTCTTTCTGTCAATTTAAAGGCTATTTGAATGCTACTTACAGGCATCATCAGATTGTTTCTTTCTTCTTTTCCTTTTCTTTATTTTCTGTTGTTATTCTTTGTTTTCTGTCCATGCTACCAGGAGAAAACTAAGTCCTCATCTCCTCATGGCAAGGCCCTAACTGATCAACTTATTTCAAATCTGTCTTGTCCAACTCCAAAGAATATTACTATATAAATCTACTTTAAATTATGGTTTAATACGTAATGTTTTTTATTTTCCACCTTCTTTCGTAACAAAAACTTTCAATGATGCCCATTACCTTCAAAGTTAAGTCTGAATTGTTTAGCATGAAATTCAAATTCTTTCATATCTAGTCCCAACTTATTTTTCTACTGCATGAACTCTCCACTCCAGCCAAACCTACTGTCTTCCAGTTATCAGTGTGTACCCATAAATCCATGCCTCTCTCATTTCCTGGAGTCATCTCAAAATCTGCCTTCTCTTTGAAGATATCTCTAAAAGTACAAATTGGAAAATGACCCATTCATTCTTGAGCGTCATTTGACAGTGAGTATTCTGGAAAGTGACTGTTATCTGTAGATATCCTAGCTCCTCAATTAGAATATAAACTTAAGGATGAGAACCATACATTTTGCCTTTTATGTATACTGTATCCTCAGTGTCTTGATATCAAGGGTGCTCAGAAAATCAATGCTTAGAACTTGTCCTGTCTACTTGTAATAAAAACTGCTAAACTTCTTCAGAGCCTAAGATAGAACTTGAAAAGTATTGTTGTTAACAGAAGAGAAGAGCTGCCTCTTGAAGTATCTTTGGGAGTAAAGCAGTTCATGGCTTCTTCTAGGCCTTTGGTATGATTTCACCAAATTAATCCATTTCTCTACATCCTCATTCTCTCTGTATACTGTTTAATATTTCAGTATAGCCTTCAAGGCCTGGTAGTCTCCCTGTCAGTTTCAAAGTCTAGAGTTAGCTTCACGATTAGACTAGGCCTCTGATATATAAAGACTGTAATTGGGACACTTAGCAGCAAGAACGATACAGAAGGTAGTTACACAAAAAAGCAAAGCGAAGAATAGGCCCGTGAAATACAATGATGAGGGTGATAAAAGTCTTTAGAGATGAAAAGATAGATTTGTAAAGTTTAATAAAACAGCAAAAGGATCAAGAGGGAAATATCTTAAGCTATTTTAGACACCATTTAGATTTTCAGCATTTTCATGGGTAATCACACCTTGGTCTCAAGCCTGACAGGAAAGAGCTTTAAAAACAAACAACAAACAAACAAACAAGCAGAAAAACGCCATACATTTGTCTAACACAATCAGCTGATTTGCAATAGTATCTAAAAAATTAACAGTTCCTTTTATTTCACACCAAAGTACTACTGCTTATGGGGAGGGCATCCAGAATGTTGTCAACAGGGTCTTCTGTGATTATGAAAGACATGAAAATATACACACCATCTCTTATTTCATGGAATTTGGCAACTCCATATCAGAAATGTTGGGGAGCCGTCTGGCTAAGCCTTGAAAGTAGGAATGGAAACACAGTTCAAAGTGGAATGAAGGTGATAATCTCTCCCAGGAAAGAGGAAATCGTTGGATTAAACAGAGATAATTAAGCCTAATTAGTGAATTATAAGGATACGCACAAAATAAAAAAATAGTTGACTTATAGTAAATAAAAGAAAAAGCTATGTTAAAATGGAGAAAGTAATAATTTTCCTGGGCAAGAAAGAATGAACACTTAGAGGTAGACTAAGAAAGAGTTTTATAAGATACCTTATTTGTTCTCTTAATGTTAAAATCAAATTGGAAACAAATTATGCTTACATCGAATAAAAATTATAATACTATATTCTATTGTTTCATATACAGATTAATCCATGATATTAGAGGGAAAATTTCATTAAATAGATCTAACATTAAAAGTAACACAAAACAACATTTTTAAAAATTTTGTTTCCATCTTATATTTCCAGGAAAAGTGTTTCCTATTAATGGATACTAATTTCCCTGTTTTTTTCCTTCTTGAGACAAAAAATCCTAGAGTTCTTATTTTAAAATAGAATCCTAAAAGTCTATGGGAACATGGAAACTATTTCATGTATTTTCATGATTTCCCAACATAAGCACACTAAGATCAGTCTAATGAGGGGATGAGTGTTTTTTACTGGAAAATATGTACGAAAAGGAGCTTCCATGGCCTTCTCTAAATCCCTTGTCGACCCACAAAAAAGTTTCTTCTGTTTGGGCAATATTTCATGTGTTAATGTACAGTATTTCCCATAATACAAAGACAAGATTTGATTATGAAGTGATGTGCTACAGGCTGTCTGTGAGGGTAAATGTTACCATCTTATGATCATGTAAGCTGTTTAGTCATGTATCTACAAATATGGGCAAATAAATTTTTTTATGTACAGATGAATCACATAGTGTATATGTCACATTTTGTTATAGTTCAGGCCTGGCATGAAGGCTCCCAACTGTAATTCCAGAGCTTTGGGAGGCTGAGGCAGGAGGATCACTTGAGCCCAGAAGTTTGAGACCACAGTAAGCAGACAATATTGAGACTCTGTCTCTACAAAGAATAAAATTAGCCAGGCATGGTTGTATGCACCTGTAACCCTAGCTACTTAGGAGGCTAAGGCAGGATGATCCCTGGAGCCCAGGGGTTCAAGGTTGTAGCGAGCCATGATTGAGCCACTACACTCCAGCCGGGGCAACAGTGTGAGCCCCAGACTCCAGGAAAATAAATAAATAAATAAAATATAGTTGTCTCTGTTCTAAGGCAGAGGTGGTAGGTAAAGGATTAAATGCTGCCTATTTAATTGAGATTTTATCTTCCTTATGAGAGATTCTTACAAGCATTTATATTTTCCTCATTTTGAGTGAGAACATCAATCCCTCATGTTGCAAAATTGCAATCTTCCTCGGGAAAAATGTACTTATTATCTACCTTACACACTAAAAAAAATTTTCTGCCTTCACTTAACTTTCCATGTACCAATAGAGTAACCTAGATTTTAAAATGAGTCACACCCCACATTGAAAAATGTATGAAAATGGAATTTAAGAAGGAAAGCTTTCTACTCTAAGTGATTTTTCTTTCAAGTTTACATGTTTAAATTGTGTGGAAAGTAAATTTTGATTCTGACAATGTAAGTTGTTTTGGAGGTATTTGGGCTATAAATGTTCATGCATGCCTGTTGATTTTCAAATCAGAAATGAATCTGAAAACTATGAGAATTAAAAATGGCACTTTAAAGCCCGCCATATGAATCATTTTTATTTTTTAGAATATTGATCCAATAGAACCTAAATGGTTTTACAACCTTTTGAAGTCTATGGGTAATATTGTTTCTCATTTGGTTTCATACCACAATTTCTTCTAAGGAATATGAATGCACTTGGCTGCACACATATAAAATTTATTAATTATGTTTCTATCCTTTTATAATCAATTTTCCACAAACTGAGCTGAGCAATAACAATTCCATCAGAAAAACACATGCTGTCAAACTTCTTTTTTGTGTGCTTTAGAGTCAAATGGTTATCTTATTAAAGTTGTGAGAAACAAAATATTGAAATCTCCTCTTTTTAATAACAATTATTTTATATATAACTAAATACTTGATTTAAAATTATGCAATCCAGGTATACATTAAAGGATGATTGAAGTGTGATCACTTACTTCTAAAACTAATCTCTAATACTATGACTTGGCAAATTAAATGTTTAACTTTTTAAACTATTTCTTAAGAAGAATATATATATATATTCCTACTATTTCTATTATATATACAGTATATCTCCCTTAATCTCTTTTGCAATGATACCTTGATTTTAACATGAACATTTACATAAGAAAGTAATTTTCCTTTTTATAAGCCATGAAGTGAGTTACAAGTATTTTCCTTAATAAAAGTTTATAAAATATTTACCTTGAAGCAGTCTAAAAAGGAAACATGTAATTGTGGATCAAATGAGAGTTAAACTCCACTTGAAACAAGAGAGGATTATCATAAACATACCTTGTCCTTGGGATACTCCATAAAATTCAGCTGCTATCCTTGCTGCTTCCTTGCGGTTGCCTTTCACGATGTAGAAATGACTGAGGATGGCAAGGCTGATTTTCACAAAAAGCTTAAAACAGAACAGCGAAAGTATTGTAAAGTAGACATTGGATAATTGTTGAGCAAATGGCCGATTTTCTTCTAACACCGACATTGCTGCAGAAGAATCTGCGGCGGTCTTTAGTTAGATCCAAGTCTCAAATGTGCCTGGCTCTCGTCCGTGGTGCTCCTGAACAGCTGGTCCTGAGGAAAGAAAATATCAGCTGGTAATGATGCCTACAGCTCAAAATATTTATACAGTCCATAAAAGTTCTTCACAAACTCCTATTGGTCTGAAAATATTCCATGGAAGCAATTGCATCATGTGTCGCAAGGCTCCTGACTTTCCATTCTCAATATAAAATGACACTCCACCTCTGTGCTCCAAATTTCAAAATCCAGATATTGAATATATATGCATATTCTTTCCATTTTATATATGTAATTATCAAGAACAATTTGAAGACAGTGTATGGGGTTCCCATTGTTAACATAAATGATATTCATAAATCAAGTAAAGTTGTCTATCATTTAAAGCTTTAAAATGGCACTATACTATTTGTAGACCATGAGCTAAATCAGCAAACAGTCCAGAGCTTGTACCTTAATGACGACTCATCAGATTAGCTAATTGCATTGTTTTTACTGTTTTAGGGAAAAAAAAATTTTTTTTCTTATAAGTCATCACACTGAAACATCATAGATTAATAATCTGACACTGTTCCCTCATCGAATGAACACTTTTTAATAACTTGGTATGTGTCAAATGCTTTGCTAGATTTTGAAGAGATAAAGACAAGTAGAATGGTCCTGGCCACAAGGAACTCAAAGTCTAGTGGAGGAAATGGAACAGAAATAGGTAGATATGAAGCAGGTAAAAACAAGTATTACGGGATCACAAAGAGAAAGCACGTAATCCTGGGAGGGAAGACTCAGAAAAGACATATCCAGAATTATCAAGTGAACAAATGCATTTCATCAACACTGTCCAAAGCCAAGCAAAACAATATACTTTTAGGCCTATAATCTTTGTTGACTCCAATCTGTTTTATTCATGGATGAAATGTATCTGTATATAGATATCCTTAGGCAAGTTATATTTTAAAAGAGAAATAGAATAAATTATTAAGAAAATAACATAGAGCAGCAATATTTTTGCATTTAAGCCAAAAATTTTATGCCAAAATACAAAATATCATGTTATATAGGGAGCTTCGTTACATATTTCTATGACTGGGTTTGGGGCCTCTTGACAGTGATATTGCTTCCTAACTCATCTGAGTTCCAAATTAACAAAAGATAACAAGTATAAGAAAATAGAAGTGGCCGTTCTTGGAATAAGGAGCACACCCATGATTGGCCATACTAGTAAGTGTTCTCTCCCTCGGTGTATCCATTTTATGCCGAGTATCTTAAATGGTTTTGGACAGATTCACCTGACATATTCCAACACAAGGAGATAAGGCTGTAAAATAAATATGTCAAATAAAGCAAGCTGCTGCTTTCATCAGTGAATGAAGAGCTTTCAGAAAAAATGATAATAACTAGATCAATATATTAGAAAGAAATTACCAAGCTTCTTATGAAAATGGCCCCTGGTTATCATTTCCAGAGGCAGAGTATTAGCTAGGCAGGCATTAATTAGGCCCAGTGTGCTATTTCATATGTGCTTTGGGAATCAGTGAAAATTAACTCCAAATAGAAGATTAACGAAATGTTCCTCTTTTTCACTACTGGTAAGACGGTGTCAGGTGAGTCAATACATGTGCCGATTCTTCTGCAGTGAGTCCTCCCTCCGGTGATGCCTGACTTCACACTAGAGAGGTATGCCTCTGGACAGCTGGGCCATCACAGTACTCTGAGTCACTGCACACTTCCACTTCAGTGTTTCGGGATCAGAAATAAAAACCGCCTTAGTCACGTCTAAGTGCCCATCTAAGGTTTCACTCCTTTCTCTCTACCAGTAAGTGCTATTAAAAATAATTGTCTTCTCATGAGCTAATCGGGAGCCTGGATTCTTTGGGGTTAAGAAACACTTTCATTTCACTAAGGCTGCAATCATTGGTGCATTAAGTTTAAATCTTTCTAGCTTTACTAGTACAAAAAAACTACAGTACGATGTTTAGGATTTTATGTCAAGACATCAGGTTTTATTTTTATGAATTACTTGATTCCCATTTGTATATTCTGTTGGTATACTTTCCCTCAGCAAATTTTACCATCTCTGAGTCTGTTAATTACTAAATAAAAATTAAGCCCAAATAAAATAACTCATAGCATATGAATTTATCAAGTGGAAATTAGATGCTGTATTTTTCATTTTATAAACCCCTCCAAATAATACTATGAACAACTCTGTTAATATTTAAAAGATACATAATGACACTAAAAGTATTGTGCATCTATTTTCCTGGCATTTTCATTTCCTTAGGAAAAAAAATATTGATTAGTCATTGAAGTGACTTATTCAGATAAATGTTTTTATAATACACCATGTTGAGAGACTGTGGTAGCCAGATGTAGTTGACTAGCTCAGTACATCTCAACTTTCCTAATCTTGTTAGTTTCAGTCAATCAGTGTTGAAATTGAACTTAACATTGTATTATTAGAATGTTAAAACTGAACTTAACATTGTATTACTAGAATGGGTGATGTGAGAAAAGTTAAAACAAGAAAAATCATTTACGAAGGTATACTGTATGCTCTATGCATATATTTATTTACAAATTTATTTCATCTTGGGGGTATTATTATTTATATTTTAAAGATGAGGAAAGTGGGTCTCAGAGAACTTTAGAGATCTATAAAAGTTAATTATGAAGAACAGCACTATTTGAACATAGTTCTCACTAAAATACACGCTCAAGTTGCCTCTAGAATTTTCTATTTTTAAGCACTTACGATCTGAGCAAATACAACTCATACATACAGAGATTAAGACAGAGTCACACAGATTAACAGACACATACACATACCCCTCCTCCCACACAGAAGAGATCATACAAGATTATATGTAATCAGAAACCTAAATTACTGGGGTAAGCTGCGTACATGGTATGACGATGAAATGAGATGGCACTTTGTGTGTACTCACTAAGTGGGAATATAGAAAGAGAGGCTAATACGGCCAGGCGCGGTGACTCATGCCTGTAATTCCAGCCCTTTGGGAGGCCCAGGAGGACGGATCATGAGGTCAAGAGATGGAGACCATCCTGGCCAACATGGTGAAACCCCGTTTCTACTAAAAATACAAAAATTAGCTGGGTGTGGTGGCCTGCACCTGTAGTCCCAGCTACTTGAGAGGCTGAGGCAGGAGAATTGCTTGAACTCAGGAGGCAGAGGTTGCACTGAGCCAAGATCATGCCACTGCACTCCAGCCTGGCACCTGGCAACAGAGTGAGACTCTGTCTCAAAA